AAAAAAAAAAAAAAAAAAAAAAACAATAGATTGAGAATTCCCTGTGTTTGTTTTTCATTTTTTTTTCTTTGATAAATATTTATGTAACTAAAATAATCAAAAATTCAATGTAGATATTATAATTAACAAGTAATTTTTATTGAATGCTGTTTGTGTGATTTGCATATTATTTTATAATTTGAAAAAAGAAAATGTTGGTACTATACATTATTTATATTTAATTTTATATTCCATTAATACTTAAAAACTTTTTAAAGGAATTTTTGTATCTTTCTTTTACTTTATGTGTAATCTTTATTTTCAGGGTTAAGTGGTTCTGCAGCAGATCTTGAACATAGGCAAATGACATTTGGAGCAAATCTTATTCCCCCAAAACCACCTAAAACTTTTCTACAATTAGTGTGGGAAGCTCTTCAGGATATCACACTTATTATTCTAGAAGCTGCTGCAATTATCTCTTTGGGTTTAGCATTTTATAAACCACCAGAAAACTTAGAAGTAAATGGTAAGCAATATTTAGTAATTTTATTTCTTAAAGATTCATATATTAATCATTTTTTAGCCTATTTCATGGCTATTGTTTGTAATTAAATTATTATTAATGATTTTAAATTAATGAGTACTCATTCACTTTACTTGGATTAAATTTTTCATTTAAATAAATAAATTTGAAATCATAATTTAACAAAATCAAAAATATGACTTTGTAAAATTTTTTATTGAATTAGATAATTAAATCTATGTAAAATATAGAATGTTTTATTATATGTAGGATAAGTGAATTGTATAAATAAATAACTTTACAGGATAAGGACATTCTATAAACTATTTTTATATGGTTTGATTATAAAAATATCTACAAAATTGTATATAATTTTTTTATGTAGAAAATAATATTTAAAATGCTTTTTTTTAAATGAAATCTAGTACAGTAGAATTTTTTTTTTATAAATGTAGCTTGTTCAAGAAACAAAAATTATTTTTGTGAAATCAATACATAGTTTTAAACTTTTTAATAATAGTAATATATATTTTTTTATTTACGCTTCTCTGATCAAGAACTTGAAGGAGGTAAAACTTATTTTCTTTTACATGTAATTAATTTTAAAAATTAAGGAGATTGTTTTTATTTAAGTACTGTATATAAACAATGAATAGTTAATATTTCAAATGATTTTAAAAATAAATTTTTTTTGAACTGTAGAATTTTATTCAGAATTTTGAAATATTTAAATTAAGAAAACTTATTTTAATTTCAAGGTGATAACCCCTTTCAAGCACAGATCACCCATGAGTTATCTGTGTTTGAAAGGGGGTTTAGGTTATATGATGGAATGAGTTGGCTATATACTGATTTTAAATTCCAGTCATGAGTTAAAGGTTGATTCACATTACATGACTGGCTGATGGCAGGTAACTGACTCCCTGAAGTAACAATTATTTAACATATAAAATTATTACTAAAGCTGGAACTATTCAATAAGTGAATTCAAACTGACCTTGCATACATTTACAGCAAGGAAACTGTAAAACAAAAATGCAAATATTTTCTGCCCCATTTAGGTGCTAGCATCAGGCTTTTTAGAGGATTTTTTTATAAACCATAAATTTGGCTTAAGTAGTCTTCTAAAGAAGTCTTTTTCACCTGACATTTTCAGCCCTGTTTAGGGGACTAATACTAGCCCCTAAACAGCCAAAAATGTTAGCATTTTTGTTTTACAACAGTTTTTTCATGTGGCAGTATATTTTTAAAATTATTTATTTATACATTTGCAAGAAATGATGCCAAGTGTTTAACTACTCACTATTGTTTTCACAACCATGACATATTTTGATTGATTCAGATTTAATTTTTTAATAAATACTAGCAATTAAGATATGGATGAATCGTCAGGGTAATATGAAATATAAGAAGCCAAAAAGAATTAAAATTTTATACAATAATTAATTAATTATTAAAAATGTTTCAAGTACCACTAATATAATAATATTATCACATAATTAATTGTATAAGTTTAATATTTTTTAATTAAAACCTTTTTAATTCTAAGTTAGAAAAACAATGAATGATAAAAGAACATATGATTTTTATAGTATGATAATTTTTCCTGTTTATTTTATTATTATTATTATATTACAGGATAAAGATAATAAGTCATAAAATAAAAATTATAAATTGTATTTATTTAATCTTACACTTAATTTATATTGGGAGCATTCATAAACACTATTTGAATAACATGGGTGGAGAATGAGTACAGTTTTCTGTGTGTGTTCAGATTGTAAGTTATTTAATATTTTAAATTTTATACAAATGTTAGTTTAATTAATGTAAAACATATTTTTACATTACAGGGTTTAAAAAATAAAGCAAAACTGTAAAGTCATTTAATTCAAGAATTATTGTAATTATTAGTTAATCTTAATATAAGATAATCAAACATCCTTACTAGACCCGATACGTTTAAAGCTATACATAAACCAAAGCCAAATATTATTGGGCTAGAAACAGCTATAATACTAATAAGTTAATAGACAATTTGGCATTAGAGTTAGGCGTTTGGTGTCATCTCTTGATAAATTTAATAATTATAAATAAATTAATTAAATTAAAAAATAATTTAGAATTACTGGAAGAAAAGAATCAGCCCAAAGCGGGACTTGAACCCGCAACTCCTGCTTATTGTGCAGATGCGTTGCCAATTACGCTGCCTGGTCTGATCTGTAATAACTGTCGATGGTTTTTACATTCACATTTTTTTACATTTTACATTTAATGGAGCACTCCCTATGACCTGTAGCATTAAATGCTACTGGCTTCAGGTACTCCTCTTTTAATTAACCTGCTTCGCATATGCTTTGCAGGTAGTTAAGATTACATAGTCGCGATTGTAGCCGCAATACATTAATACCCGACAATTCTATTTTTTACATTAATTATATTTTTGTTGAGTAGAGTATTTGATGTCATTAATTTAACAATGAACTATGACAGAAATTTTTATGTTCTGTTTTTATAACAAGTTTTTATAAATTCATTGAAATAATAATATATGTTAACATTATTTATAAGGCTACTTTTCCTAATAGGCCAATTGTAACCTTCTTTATTACAAACTAATTTTAATTCGTTTCTTATTTTTTCATATTGCATACAGTCAAATAAGATGTGTGTGGGTGTTTCACTTACCCCACAAATCTCGCAGTTTTCATCATCTCGATGATTAAATCTATAATGATATTTCGCAAAATCTCCATGACCTGTCACGAATCTTGTGAATTTGTGTCCAATTTGTAGATGTTTGTTATTTAACCTCTGGTTAATATCTGGTATGTATTCAAAGAGTTCCCTTCCTTTTGTAGTTATTTCCCACCGTTGTTGCCACTGTAATATGTATCTATTTTTGATTTCAGTTTTTATATATTTTGTAGATATTTTTCTGTATGATTCCTTTGTTTTTAGATAACTAGCCTCTTTAGCCAGACTGTCCGCTCTTTCATTTCCTTGGTCTCCAAAATGGNTAATAATATTTAATTAAATAATTTAGAATTTACTGGAAGAAAAGAATCAGCCCAAAGCGGGACTTGAACCCGCAACTCCTGCTTATTGTGCAGATGCGTTGCCAATTACGCTGCCTGGTCTGATCTGTAATAACTGTCGATGGTTTTTACATTCACATTTTTTTACATTTTACATTTAATGGAGCACTCCCTATGACCTGTAGCATTAAATGCTACTGGCTTCAGGTACTCCTCTTTTAATTAACCTGCTTCGCATATGCTTTGCAGGTAGTTAAGATTACATAGTCGCGATTGTAGCCGCAATACATTAATACCCGACAATTCTATTTTTTACATTAATTATATTTTTGTTGAGTAGAGTATTTGATGTCATTAATTTAACAATGAACTATGACAGAAATTTTTATGTTCTGTTTTTATAACAAGTTTTTATAAATTCATTGAAATAATAATATATGTTAACATTATTTATAAGGCTACTTTTCCTAATAGGCCAATTGTAACCTTCTTTGTTACAAACTAATTTTAACTCGTTTCTTACTTTTTCATATTGCATACAGTCAAATAAGATGTGTGTGAGTGTTTCACTTACCCCACAAATCTCACAGTTTTCATCATCTCGATGATTAAATCTATAATGATATTTCGCAAAATCTCCATGACCTGTCACGAATCTTGTGAATTTGTGTCCAATTTGTAGATGTTTGTTATTTAACCTCTGGTTAATATCTGGTATGTATTCAAAAAGTTTCCTTCCTTTTGTAGTTATTTCCCACCGTTGTTGCCACTGTAATATGTATCTATTTTTGATTTCAGTTTTTATATATTTTGTAGATATTTTTCTGTATGATTCCTTTGTTTTTAAATAACTAGCCTCTTTATCCAGACTGTTCGCTCTTTCATTTCCTTGGTCTCCAAAATGGGCTTTGACCCAGCTGAACACTAGCATATTATCACTTTTCACAATATTTCGTCTTATATTATCAATTAGTTCACTTTTATTGTTACCATCATTAAGAGCTTTTAATACAGCCTGGCTGTCTGTGCAAATAGTAATTTTTATATTTTTCTTCCTTTGACTTATCCAGTTAATTGCATGATCTATTGCTACCAATTCTGCTTGATAATTTGTGCATCTTTTATCTAACTTGATTTTTTTGATACTGTTCCCTATTTCTATAGTAATAAATGTACGACGCTCCCACTCCTTCTGAGGATCTTGATCCGTCCGTATAGATTCTGTATTTATCCCAATAGTTGTATTTCTTTATATGTATTTTCTTCCATTCATATCTTAATAATTTTTGGTGTTGTTTCATATCTGCTTCTAGCTGTCTAACTGTCGATGGTTATATCGTTAGCTTATATATGCTGGAAGAGAAGATCGGACCGAAGGTCCAGGTAGCAGGAGTTGCGGGTTCGAGTCCCACTTCGGGCCAATTCTTTTCTTCCAGTAATTCTAAATTATTATTTAAATTATTTAATTAATTTATAATTATTAAATTTATCAAGAGATGGCACCTAATGCCTAACTCTAATGCCAAATTGTCTATTAAATTATTAGTATTATAGCCATTTCTAGCCTGATAATATTTTGCTTTGGTTGATGTATAGCTTTAATATAAGATAGTGGTTAGTTGCCTACCATTAGGAAAAAATTATCGTATATTATTAATAATGAGCCAAACTGTAGTCTGAATAAAACAGAAATTAATAATTATTATAGAATAGTAGATACAGATCCAAAATGATTTGTTAATGGAAATGAAACAAAAAAAAAAAAAGCAATTTTAACTGCTTGAAGTGGTAACTTTTAAACAGTATTGGTAATAATCTTGCTTTTAATGGCAGCCCATAGAGTAGTGTGTAAGGTAGGGCAGCTTATATGAAGGTTTTTTGTTCTTGCAGTTTTTGGCAGTGTGTACATACCATTATAGATTATCTGCCTGAAATTATATAAGTTAATTTTTTACAGAAAATATTTCAAAAAAAGTTTCATAAAATTTGTGAACTGCTATGAGTTTTGTTCAAACAAAAATTTTTAATGGAAATTTAATTATTTTGTGTAGATATTATAAATAAATTGAAAATTAAGTTGTAGAATATTTATTAATATACAGTGGAACTTCACTTAATGAGCATAATTCATTCCAGAATTACTTGTAATGCGAAAGACTCATTAAACGAAACAATTTTTCCCATATAAATTAATGTAAAATATGATAATGCATTCCATGCCAAAAAAATTACTCAAATATTTTATGTATAATGTTTATTCAAAGAAAATTATACAATATGCATTAAGGAGCATGAATCATTTTCATCTTTTCTTCTAGTGCAGAATGAACCGACCTGAAATGTGAATTCGATGTGCAAAAATATCGAAAAAATATGTTTCATAAACAGCCAAATGATATGTCAAATTCTTGGGCTATTGTAAAAGCTGTAAATAAAATATTAGAAATTAATTAATTTGACTAGAGGTAGGCAGTTATGCTTTCATCTCATATTAAATTTAATAATTATAAATTAATTAATTTATAATTATTAAATTTTAATTATAATTAATTAATTACAATTAAATTAATTATTAAATTATTATATAAATTAATTTAGACACTGCTAAAATTTAATTTGGAATTGGTCATTAAATTTAATACAAGATGGCAGCAGAACTGCCTACCTCTAGTCACATTAATAAGTTTCTAATATTTAATTATAGCCTTTACATAGCCCAAGAATTTGGCTTATCGTTTGGCTTGTTTATTATATAACGGGCCATGGTTGTTGATGTTTAAAAGTAATATGTGTGAACACAAATTTGGAAAAGTATGTGATCACAAGTGACATTGAGATACTAGCATAATGAGTGCTAAACACAGACTAATGGAGCATGCTCTCAATCCAGAACTTTCTGTTGAATTTTTTGTTCGATTCAAATGCAGTTAAATATTGAATATCTATGCACGGAAAGCTAGAACTACTGTAAATAAGTATTATAAAACCTTTGACAATTTTTCTAGCAATTTCTTTAATCGAACAAACTATAGAAATATAGCTGAAAATGTTAGTTCGTTCGATGAAAAAAATTGCTATAAAAATTGTCAAAGATTTTATAATACTTATTGAATATCATCTGTACAGTTGAATTTATGTACAATGAAATTTTATATCCATCAGTACATGGTCTCATGGCTGTAACAATTAACCAGTTAGATGAATGATCAAAAACTTAAAGCTTATAGTTTATAATTCAGTTAATATATTGATAGGTAATGTAATATAACAAATATATAATAATTAATATATAGTATGGTAATACTATATGGAATTAGACAATTACATATTGTATAAAATGTTTCATTCGTTAGCTATCTGACAATTTATTTTATTTTTTCCCCCTTATTTTCATATTTATATATTGGCAAGATTTTGAATTTTTCACAATAATTTTGCTTTAGTGGCTTCTATCTTGTCTTATTCTTTTCACTTTTTTTATGTATTAATTCATTTTGAGAGCCATTTTTTCCACCATGTATTATCATGGATAGGTAATAGATACTGGATAATCAATTTTCTATATCCAATTTTCCATCAATTTTACATTTTTTAATGTCGTCATTTGTAAATATTTCTTAATTTCAAATGTGTTGGTATTGGTATGTTGTGTATGTTTATTTGTTTATTTTATCCCAGTATTGGAGAGTTATTAATTAATCAAATTTATTAACTTATTTCAGTTGGTTCATCGGAAGGAGAAGGAGAAGCAGGATGGATAGAAGGTGCTGCCATTTTAGTGTCTGTTCTTATTGTCGTCCTAGTTACAGCCTTCAACGATTATACTAAGGAACGTCAATTTAGAGGTTTGCAAAGTCGAATAGAAGATGAACATAAATTTTCTGTTATTCGTGGTGGAGAAGTTAATCAAATACCTGTGAGTGAAATTGTGGTTGGTGATATTTGTCAAGTTAAATATGGTAAGCATTGTTTTTTGAATATAAATATATTTATTGTTGTAATATGAAATTTATTTCTTTTAATTTTTTTGCTTTGATAAATTTAAAATGTTAGTAAAATAAGTGTCATCTAAGTAATTTGTTAGAAAAATCATTTAAATTTATGTTTATGCAATTATAACACCCTTCCAAAGTATTCTCATTGTAAAGTACTATTTTATTTTTCCGACTTTCCAACGATTAATCGACACTACTGTGTGCCGGAAATAGCCGTTCCCTAACGGGTACTTTACGCGGATTCGCGTTAGTGTGCCAGGCCTGGACTTTAAGCGTGCACCGAATTAAATAATGACAAAGTTTGTCAATAACAAAATCAAATATTTAATTAAACTTCTAGTAATAAACTATATACAGTATTTAGTAAAAATCAAACAATAATTTATTCAATGAAATTCAACAAGAATAAAACCGACAAACTCAAATCAATCTATTTCTAACTTAATTCTATTCCCCTTTGGAATTCGACAAAATCAAAGAATTAACTTATAAACAATAATTCTTATAAATTAAAGATCCTAATCGTCACCTCAATATACTAGGAACCTATTTCCTCAAACTCTCAAGACTTTCTATAATCATCGATCCACAAATCGAATAAATTCAAAATCCTATCGGACACCTCTCTCGTTCACTGCTACGAAGCTCACCAAAGCTCGTTGCTATCAGGAATTCACCTCGTTCGTTTTCACCGAGTTAGAGGCTTTATAGTGTGAGGTGACGTCACAATTCTGAATGAGCTCACTCTCCTCATTTACATACTTATCTGTAACATTAAATTTTTCTTGTTTATCTGGCAGATTATTTACCGACAATACTTCGCTAACCTTTTACATTATTCTTTTTAACAATTATTGGGATGCTTTATTCTTTTAAGGTTTAGCGATTCCTAACTGGGTTGTGGGGTCTTCCCCCCCCTTTTTCTCGGTGCGGACTTACTTTTTTCCGCTTGGGAAGCGCGAGTTTTTCTACGGCGCTTTTCTTTCGTCGGTGAGTTGGTTTTTCTTCTATTTTTAAGTTACTAAGGTGAATGGTGAGGAAACCTTTGTCTTAACTAAACATAAGCCCCAAACAAAATATAATGAAAGCAAAATAAGAGTAAAATAAAAATAAAGCTCAGACTTGGTTCCTTACACCATGATTGAAGAGTATTTTAAACAGACACATGCCATGTACTGTTTGTTCTGCACTTGGGAAATACACATTGGCAGTGTGCTAGGTAAGACTTTCTGTTAGATGTGTGGATCACACATGATTTGAAGCTAAGACTATTTTATTGGTAAATGGCATTTGTTATTATTAGACTATGAGAGACTTGATGATAAATTTTTTTAATATAAAACCAATGTACTTTAGATACTGTGATTTATTTATAACCACCTATTAAACAAAGAACATTGTTGCTTTTTCAATCTACAGTTAAACCTGTCTGTAACAGAATTCCACGGGATTGAGTAATTCTATAGTAGACAGGATTTTGCTATATATATATATATATATATGTATATATAGCAGAATCCTGTCTACTACAGCAGTACCTATTATATGTAAAATGAAATGTCTTGCATTTTTTACAGATAAGGGAGATTAAATTACTTCCCGAAAGTCATGCAAAACACTGCTTTATTCTGCTTAACACAATTTTGTGTTTCTCTTAACACAAATATTACATTTAGGATTTGGAATAGTAATCAAGTAGTTTGCATTGAATTTCTCTTGCAAACATACTCTTTAACTATCATTTTTGCTTTACTGGCAAGATGAGCATATCAGAGTTGTTTTGACTAAGAGCAAACTCCTGAAGCTCTGTGCTATGATTCAGAGCATGATGCTTAGTCTATTATGTAATGAGCCATGTTGTCATCAGACTCTCTCTTCATCTTTATCTTGATACTGATGATTATACACAAAATGCATTATGTTCTCTAAATCATTTTTGGTAGCAACTTCACTGTCAATACTTATGCAGTCTTTAGCACAGATATTTCCAAAGTTAGCATGAATTAGAATTTTCTGTAGAGTTCTGATGCTGACCCTAACTTCACCACTAAGTTTAGTTGCTTTTTCCTCCTCATTAAATAGAAAGTGTTTTTTGAAAGCAAGATTTTATTGTTCCTTGTGACACTTTCCAGAGTGTCTGCTATTCATAGTGCTACATTCAGTACAGATATAGATTCGGTGATCTCAACTGCAGATGAAATGCATTCTGTCTTTGTGATTGCCCACCAAACCAATTGGCTATAGTTTAGCTTGATGAATTTCATCACATTTAAGGGCTGTGTGACACTTGCTGTTTCAACAGGAAACCATGCAAGATGCACATTCAACAATTAAATGTGAGAGTAGCATGTTGCATTGTCCAAGAACAAAAGAACATAGCAATTTTGACTCTTCATTCTATTGTTAAATTTTTTGAGCTATTCTTTTATCAAATCAGCCATCTATCAAATTATCCATGCCTTTCTATTTGATTTCTATATTATAGGAAGTTCCCTGATATTCATGTTTTTGAAACATCTGCAGGGCTTGAAGTGACTCACTTCTTTAGCTTTTTTTCATAGCTCCTTTCTTTTTTAGCTTTTTCTGAGGCAAACTTGCTTTGTTAGCTTTTTTTCACTTTCCATGTGGAATTTATTTATTTTTGTAAATGCGTTCAGGAGCAAATTGGCGACCAGCACACCCCATGCTGCAATCCTCCAACATTCAAGCTGCAAGAAACATATAAATAAATGCCATGAAGCCTTTGGTCCTAAGCAGTTAGGACTGATGACTGCCCCTCGGATGTCTCAATGTCAAAGTATTAGTGCTGAAAGTGTTGCTAGTGTGAGCAACATTGTATACTCAGGTGCCAGTTCAGAACACCAATCATTGCAACAACCAGTGCTTCAACTTTGTAGTGCAAAAGTTGGTGCTTACATTGCAGAGCTTATATGGACTATGAAAATGACAGCCAGCAATTATTCATTTGCATTATGACATATAAAGGAGACAATCAATGCCAAGTGTGCAGACAATCTTCCAAAAGAATTCTCATTGTCACATCAAAAAATGAGATACTTAATCACTGAAGCTTTGGCCCCATATTTCTTTGATCAATGTAGATGATGCACAATGGTCATATTATAGCATTTCTTATGATGAGACATGCAATGTAGAAGACAGAAAATAACTGAAAATACTGATTAGATACTGGTCAGAGAAACAACAGGAAGTTGTCTGCAGGCATCTCCAGACCTCATTTATCGGACATGCAGGTGCTGAAACAATTAAATCAAAAATAATACTTACAATTGAAGATGCATATCTACCTTTTGATAAATTACTGATTATTGATGCAATGGACCAAACATAAATAAAAAAATATTGTGTCTCATAATGAGGAAATTCTGACAACTCACAAAAAAGGCCTCACCAAGATACTGTGTTTCCCCGAAAATAAGACAGTGTCTTATATTAATTTTTGCTCTGAAAAATGCGCTAGGCCTTATTTTCAGGGAATGTCTTATTTTTTCCAGGAAGAAGAATTCAGATTTATTATTGAACAAAAAAATTCCCAAGTCAAACTTAGACGAGAGTGACGTATATCCGGTGTGTCGAACTGTCGCCTTTTTATAGCGTCAACATCGGACTCGATGACCAATTAGTGCTTACTGAACCGTAGCACTATGCAAATGTCATGTGGCGTGATTCCCGGCCGACCAATTAGCCATCACCAGCCGTAACGTTATGCAAATCTGTGATTCCCAAGCCATAGTCTTATGCAAATCATGCCGTGTGGCGTAATTGTCTGCTGACCAATCAGTGGCTGTACTTTCAAAAAGCCAACGGCCACTTTCAACCATCTGTCGATGACCGTTACGACTAAAAAAAACTTCGATAGGTCTTACTTTCAGGGGGAGGTCTTATATTTCGCAATTCAGCAAAATCTGTGCTAGGTCTTATTTTCTGCGGATGTCTTATTTTTGGGGAAACACGGTAGGGACTTGCAGCATTCATACAGTCCACAATGCCTTTTTGAAAGGCCTGAAAGAGTTCTGACGTTTGGTTTTGCAGCAAAATGACTGATCGAACAATGGGAAGTACAGTAGAGCATTGATTATCCGACTCAATTGGGGACTGGGGTTGGTCAGATAACTGAAAAAACGGATAACCGAAAAGCATGAAAAAATCCATTATTAGTGTAGTATATTAGTATATCCCATGTAATTATTATATTATTGATAGTATATCGCTATTAACCTACTTCGCGTTGAATTTTCATCGATGTTAAGCATAACAAAATTTTTTTAAAAATAATAATCGTGGCTATGGTATTGTTAAAAATTATTTCTAAATTATTTTATTCACAAAACAACCACTCATAATTAGAAAATTAAGCCTCATTTAAATACTGGCATCCCTTTCATGGTTGAGCCAGCGTTGCCAGCTAAAATACCGAAAATTTAACAAAAATAACATTAAACTAGCCAAGAAATAGCCAAATATTTTAGCGCCACATCACTAGCGGACATTTGAATTTTCCGACTAGAACGCGGTCGGTTAACCGATGTGACGGTTGATCGGGGGGGTCGGATAATCGATGCTCTACTGTACTCATATTATTCTTCCTACAGCACATTTCTCAAGAATTCCAGCTTAATGAATAGTATCATATAAGATAATCTCAAAGTCATTGAAGTATTCTACCATCAAAGCTGAACTCTATTTGGGAATATCTAGTGCTGAACCAATGGCGTGCTGTGACATTTGGTGTTAGGGAAGCTGTGTTTCTGTAAGAAGCCGACTTCCAGGGGCAATCAGTTAATTGTGTGTCAGTGATGGTCTAGGGTCCATTCGTATCATTTGTTTGATAAGCCAGTAAAAACTGCAGACTTCTCTAAATGTATTTTTAATATCACAATTACATTCCAAATCACTAGCCACGATATAAGAGCTACAATTAAAAATAAAATAATAAAAACTTA